ATGTATGTATGTATGTATGCGTGTACATGTATAAATGTGTAAATGTATATATGTATATGTGTATGTATGTATATATGCCTATATGTATATATGCATATATCTATATATGTGTATATATGTGTATATATGTGTACACATATGTGTATATGTGTGTATATGTGTATATGTATATATGTGTATATGTATATATGTATATATGTCCATATGTATATATGTACAATATATGTGTACATGTATGCATGTACATTTGTCTATAAGTGTGTATATATATATATATGCCTGTACATGTATACAAGTGTATATGTATCTATGTATATATGTATATATGTATTTATGTATTTATGTATATATGTGCATATGTGCATATGTAAACGTGTATGCTGTAAATATTTATATACGTATATATATATATATATATGTGTGTGTGTGTGTGCGTGTACATGTATACATGTGTACATGTATATATGTAAATATGACTGAATGTATATATGTGCACATGTAAACATGTATGCATGTAAATATGCATATACGTATATATATATATATATATATTTATTTATTTATTTATTTATTTAATTAATTATTTAATTATTTATTTATTTATTTATTTACATGTGTGTACATGTATATATGTATATACATAATTACAGACATATGCCTGCACATATCTCTATGTGTGTGGGTAGGGAGGTGCATGCATACGGGCAGAGTGCCTGTACATATCTACATACATACAGACATAGATACATACATACATGATTACATGGATACATCGTGATAGATACGTCAAAGCACCAACAATACAACACAAGAACCCCAAACCCCTGAACCTTAGGTCCTAAACCCTATAAGCCCTTTCAGCACCCACTAAACCCTAAAAGCCCCAAACCCCGTCCTCTAGCCAGGCACCCGACTCCTCGCTGCGCTCCACAGGTCGACGCCCAGTCTCGGAGCGGAAGCTCTCCTTTAGAGGGCTCGTGGGTTTGGGGTTTAGGGATTAGGGTTTAGGGATTTAGGGTTTAGGTTTTCAGCTCCGGATCGAACAGTTTCCAGTCGAGCACGCCAGTTCGACTTCGAAAATACGCACCCAGCGAATCCCAAAACATTATTCAAATAGAAGTTTTATCACTGAATACAGCTTAGTTCTGCACTTTCACTCCAAACGAACACCCTTTTGCCTCCTTACACCACAATCCTGAAGCCGCGACATATTCGCTTCATAAAAAAGATCACCAGTGACATAGTACATTAAGAAATAAAACATTTCACCACAAAAATACAGCTTTACACTTTCACTGCAGACGAACACTTTTTGCCTTCTTACACAACAATCGAAGCATCCACGACGCATTCGCTTCATAATCAGATCACCAAGACATATTCTGGGCGGCGAGTGTCATGACCCTTTGTCATTTCCGAATTCACAATCTCTCCACTTTCCAAGCATCGAGATCCTGTTTGAAGCTTCTGACTACTGCTTTAGAGTTATGAGTGGCAGGTCTTGGAACCTC